ACTCAATTTTGCAATAGCCTTGTGTTTGATTTTCTCTCAAATTCAGTGCACTGATCTATGGACTATTTACCCGCGCTAATCCTTTCCTGATTAACTCTTCTCTGAATAGGCTCAAATCGTTTTTTTTGACAATTTGCAGTTTAGCTTCATCTTACCATGTCTTGCTCCATGATATACCCAAATCTGTTTCCTATAGCTTCAGGTGCAGACTAGTGAGCAGCGCTCTCTCGAATTGCACGTCAAACTAGAGGCCTCGGAGCTTCAGTGCCAAGAGTTAAAGGCTGCCCTCAAGGTCACTTCAGCACTATCGACTGCCTATCCGTCATCTGTAGTCGGTGCTAGTCAAGCTGTGGCCCTAGGCTGTCCCAATTCAACAAGCTATTTTATTTCTGGCAGCTCTGAGACTACCATCTGTGCTGGGGCAATGCCAGAGGATCAAGTTCCTGACCAAGAGGCAGGCGAAGCCGATGAGGTGAGAAAGCTGGCTGTACTCAAGGGCATGGCTGATCGTCTGGAAGAGAAGATAATTTCTGAGAAGGGATCTGAATCACCTAATTCAGACTCTAGTCTGAGTCTTATTACAGCTACTTCTGTTAAACCTTTTTCTACCTCTTCCCCACCACAAGATATTTCAACACACACCAAAGTTAACTCGGATATCACAGATCTCGCTTTTCCTAATCATACCTCTACTACTCTTTTCACTCCTATATCTTTAGTGAAGCCAATAATCTTGCAACTGCTCCTCCACTCTTTTCTCCCTTCTACCTGTCTTGTACCTTTCATCGCCTCGCGGGGTCCCTTCGGACTACGTTCTGCTCTGGTCAAGGCCAAAGCTGAATTGGAACCTCCTTCTCAGGCCGTCGCTAGTAGACAGGCGCGTCTAATCGATGATGCTCTACTTCAGGAGACTATTCGCACATTTCAGGCTCTCATACAAGAACGCGACTCATCCATTCTTCAGTTGCGGGCCACTTTGAAGCGCCAGCAGCAAAAGTACAAATATGAACTAGAAAAAGCGAATCTGGATGTTAGTGTAGAGGATGATACAGCTATCCAGCTTGTTCAACTTGCCGAATGTGCTGTACAGACCGAGCTGGATATGGTTCAGGCTGGACAGCTGGCTAAGGTTGCCGAAGATCTGATGAACGGAGGTGTTATCCTATCACAACCACAATGGCGCCAGTTGCTGGATGAAATGGGCCCCACTCACACTAAGGAGGACTTGCTTTATAGTCACGGACCTACTTCATCTTCTTCAATAGACAATCTTTCAACCCACATACCCATCCAAAAATCGTTTTCTGATACCAGCGAAATTATAAAGGGAAAGCAAGTGAGCGACCGAAATCCGGTTATATCCGAGCTTTTCCTCGCAGCTAATTTAATGCGACGTCAGGTGGAGCAGATGCGTGCTAACATGGCTGTGATGATGACGACCCCTTCACAAAGCAACCAGGCCGTTGAACATGTAGAACTCCATGTTGCTGATGGAAAAGGGAATGTTCTTTCATCTGATCAAGACGACTTATTTGTGTAAGCTCATTTTTGTATAGTTTACATTCTTAATGACTTTATACTAGAAGCCTATGTCCCTGCGCTCTCCACTTGGGCTAATGTACAACTTGGATGCTACATTATATTTTATATAACATTTAAAAATCTCTGTGTATATTTTTGCGTCCTCTAATCTCATCATTTATTGCTATTCGTAATGATTTTATACATTTAAGTCCTTACTTTAGACATTCTTATTGTCAAAGTCACATCAAACCTCTTTATAATCGGTAATAGAAATATTTTAGTTTCATCATTAGCGAATAGGAAAAATTGCCGCGCATATAATATATGATTTCAGAGTGGTCTTAATTTTACTCAAAATATGTGCTCGGCTTCGCGCTACTATTTAGAGTACCCGGCCTTGTATAGAGAAGCAAGAAAGCAACTCGCGGTGTAACTTGTATCAAACAATAAAAATTACAGGCGAGGATTCTGAGCGAAAGTGCAAAGGCGATGTCGGAGTGTGATGATGCAAAAGATCAGTTTTCGGTAACAGAGGGTCACGTAGGCACAAGAAGAGCGGCATAGAACAGTCCATAGTCCAAGCATGGTATATTAGGCTTTAAATAATTCTGAGGTTCCATCCTTGGAATTGCCGCCGTAAGGGATGAATTGGACCAACTAAGTTAATATTACCGAATCGCTACCATATACACACATTTTGCATGCTTTCGATATTTCAATAGGGCCAATTTTCCATATCCTTTCTAGTAGGCCCATATTAACTTCGATAATAGGTTCATCCAACAGCTTGATAAGTTCAACCTGGTGACTGATTCTCTTTAGTCGATTTTCGAACAATACACTCTGATAGCAACCGAACCTATAGCTCATCTTATGAGACTTTTATACGTCTATACGGGGTTTTTATATATTCCAGCGTGTACTTCAGCAGCAATTTTACTATGCTACTGTGAGAAACTTCACCTTTATCCATGACTTGCCTATTTTTGATGATAATTAACTTCAAAATTCCATCATTAATCTCTTCATAGTTTAAAGCCCAATTTAAACTTTTATGTTTGAATTACATATATGTATTTTTGCTACAGATTCTAAACATCGATTCTCTTTATTTATATATATAATCAGGTCTCAAATATTGATTTCCTTTATCCAGTAAGTCTAACAGACACTCTTTAACCAAATATTGATCTATTGACTAAATCGCCAAGGCCCCTGATTATCTCTCATATAAACCTTGATTAACGTTACTTGCCTATTCCTTGGCTTGGATGTCATCTAAACGTGGCTGGGTTTGGTTATTTGGCTTTTTGCCAACTTCCTTAGTCTACTCGTATTCTCTATCTAGAACTTCATTTTGTGCAAATTTGATCCCTTTTGACGAAACTGTTTAGTGATCAGCTCACGATAGACGACTATCTTAAGATATCTCGTATTAATCTCTTAAAAGTAATTTTATTCATTTAAGTATTTAAGTTTCGAGACTACCAGTAAATCAGTAATATGAGAAGTATTCACCCTATTTCGTTTAAAGTGATGAAGAACTAGTGTAGAATTTTCCCACAATGATATGAGTAGAGCTAACGCTTCCATTGAATTTCACATTGCCTTGCTTTCCCAAAAGTTGTTCTCATCCAGGGTGTACTGCTCAAATACGAAAATAAGTAATGTAGTGGGTTGTTATAGCAAATATACGTTTGCTTCATCGACAATCCCACCAAAGAATATGCTATGGCAAAATGCCTGGCCTTTCTTGAAATTCACATCTGCCCAAGGGCACTCGTGACAATGTGGTTGAGTGGTCAATGTGTCAAGCTCATATTCTGCACTGTCACGGTTCGACTCCCGCTGGGGGTGTTGATAAGACCGATGCGAGGTCGAAACTGCAGTCCACCCTGGATGAGACAACTTTTGGGAAAGCAAGGCAATGTGAAATTAAATGGAAGCGTCAACTCTAGTCATATCATTTTGGGAAAATTCTACAACCAGTCCTTCATCACCTCAAGCGAAATAGGGTAAATACCTCTCATTTTAGTAATTTTATTTAGCCATGATAATATTTACAAACGATACCACTGTTAAAATAACTTTATGGCTATGGAGTTTCAATATGAAGCTTATCATTAGGCTGCATAACATCGAAAGTTTGCCGATTTGTAAAAGGTGAACCCACCTAAATGTTTTATTATTAAGAGGCTTAAAATATATTGTAAAATTTAGAAGAAGAGGTCAGTTCGAGTGGATTATCTTTTAGTTTCTAACGCGCTGTGCTAATCTACTATACCTATATATTTACGATTAATTTGTTCCTTTTCAGCTTTAACCGTGAGACTCGAGAAAATCAAGTAAGTAGATCTTGGTCATTGGGAGAATTTTTGCATCCTTCTTCATATATGCCACATTTTCGTTGTCTCTTCTAGGTCTCTAACTAAATTTAGGTCATGAATTTTCTCACAAATGGAGAAATCTCCTCTGAATTGCAAGCCAGAATTAGCATATAAGTAGCATTAGAAAGTATATTTTTAGGAACTAAACTTTGACAAAATCTATGCAACGAGGAAGACCACAACCAATCCAGAGGCTAAACATTATTCTTTTACATCATCCTTTATCTGGTATCAAGCCTCGTTTTATTCTAACATTTATGTCAATATTAAATGTGTGCATAGTTCATGTCGTTTCAATCCTGACAACAACAATCCGATTATATCGCATTTGATGCACATATGTTGCTCATTTTTTTATTTTATGATTTATTTGTACATATTTTCTGTAGTATTCCAAATATATTTAGTTTTAAAAGCTATTCGCAAGGGGCACATAATTATCATGTTGCATCTCGAGGTTGAAATATAATTCTTTAGGGATCCCAAAGGCTAACTAGGCTTAGCAATAATAATTAAAGTGAACCGACAATTATCTCTCCCTTTTTTTCCTCTTTTATCAAGTAAATTGCTTGAAATATTTTCAGTGACCTAAAACTGAATCAGAATTTTCTATCCCACTTACATTGCTCAGCATTACGACTTTTATTCTTCGCTTAGGTAGTTTTTATTTACCTTGCTTAGAACAAGGTACTTCACAGCTCCTAGCAACAAGTAGCAAGCTAGCAGGCTAATTGTAACCACTATCTGGACAAAAATTTGGTCAATGTCAATTCCGAAGGGAAAAGTTCTCCCTAAAACATTTTATTTACAAATAGAAGCTGGTTTCTGGAGTATTGCTCGATTTGTAAATATTTATCTCATTGTGATTTTGACTAAAAATGTGTGATTAAAAGATTTGAAGTTCGATCCCACCAGAAGATGACAGTAGATTTTGCTCGATCAG